ATTTTGTCCTGACCAGCTGCATCAGTGCAGCTATTTATCCCTGTTCAGTCTGCACCAGGGATACACACTGCAGTTGCATCCTGCTGCCTGATCTGCATTGCTGTATCTTTGGCGAAAATATCCAGCATATATCATGCAGGATGCAGAGGGACTGAACAATTATAAAACTTGGATATCAACCCAGAACATCTTTCTGTACCTCTGGAAGAATATGGGAGGAAAAAAAACCCCAAAAAAGCAAACCTCGAGTGCTTCCAGGTATAAAAACAGGGATTAAAGAAAAAATATATTTAAAAAAAAAAAATCCTTTGAGTGGTAGACTGCCCTACACCTGCAGAGAGTGGTGTTTCTCAGGAAAAATCTAGGTAAATTTGGGTTTTCCCTCACCAACAACTGGGAGTGGTCCTGCTGGAGACAGGACTGCAGATCACCTGGCGCCTGCTGCAGAGCATCAGACCCTACAGGTCTGTGCCCGTGCGGAGACAGAGGATCATTGCTCAGCAAAGCTCCAGATGCTCAACGCTCACGCTGACTGCTCAGAAAAGAACACTACACACTAATTACATTACAGTGATTTATATGCCCTGGCACCCAAAAGTTGTCAGAGCTTGGGGAAAGGACTTTTTTCCCTTTTCCTAATAGGACGAGCACATTCTTTCCAATTACTGGTGAAGCCATTGCTTCTAGTAAGCACCAATGTAGGCGCTTCTGCAGCTCTAGGGTGAAGCTTTGTTTTTTCAAGTTACCTGCATTATGAGCGAGAAAGAGGACATAGGCAGACCACAGACACAATCCTCAGCAGTGCTGAGCTTTTGTTTCCAACCCGTGAGGTATCTGAAGTACTCTTGATCTCTGAAAGTTGCCTTCTGGCTGATATCTGCCAAGGCTGCACAGGTATCAGTGATGGAGCTAGGCAATAAAAGGTCATCAGATTTCTGATCCGCTTCTGTAGGGCTCTCCCATGGCAAGACTGTACATGTATGTATTGTCTTCCAGGGGATCACAAAGTATAGCTTGGGTCTCACAAATTTTCATTAAGCAGGTAAGAGAAATACAGTACAGAGTGGAGTCATGTTTGGGAATAAAATATGACTGCCTTAACCCTCCACTGCAGTTGTACAGAACAGTGAAGGAACACCAGTATAGTCAAGAGAAATCACAGCAGGAATTGTAGTTCAGTGGTTTAAAAAAGAACTGAAGTATTTATTATTACTAGTGCATAAGAGCTCTTACAGAAACCATTCTTAACCATTTTCTCTCTCTTATCACTTTGGAAGGGTGGGATTAAATTTGTGTCATAAAAATTGTGCCCAAAAAGATTGGATTATATTACAGTGATGTACTATATCGTGTTCTCTTCTAGTCCTAAATTTACTAAAAGCCTCTTAAAGCTGTCAGACTTCTGAAGCAGTATGAAAATAGTTATAAAATAATCCTGATTTTTAAAAAAGAAGAATTGCTGTATAAAGAAATTTTTTTCATGAGTGTTTTTGTGAGAGGGGAAGCCTTATTGACTGGAATTCCTGTGCTAAAAAAGTAATCTACAAAATATGCCAGGAATTGTGACAATGATAAAAGTAGTGTAAAAAAAAAGTCATGAGGCACTGGAAATTCTGTTTTTGAAAGGAAGTGTGGTGGAAACTGGTGGAAGCTTTACAGGAAAGAGAGGTTGCTATCCTGATACTCTGTCCTGCCTGGAATTATGTCTAAGCAAAAGCCCAGAGACCATTACACAAAGGAACAAACAAACAAAAAAATCCTGGCAATAAAACCCTGAACTGCTTTTCACAGAAGCATAGAAATTAAAGCAGGGAAAGCTTAATTTCCATAGGCAGAGCTGCAGAGAGCAGTGTTACACTTCTTTGCTTCCCTATCAGTTCATTAGAAAGGTCTGTGACATGTGCCCTGTGTGCCCTGACCCTCCTGGTGATGAATGGGTTTAATCTCTGGCGTGTGACACCAGCGTTTGTGATTCCTGCAGGTTAATTGATTTCTTTTGGCAAAGCACATTTCCAAGTCCTGTGGTCTGAGCAGCAGGACTGGCTGCAGAGGGAAAACAAGGCATCTTGAGAAAGAAATTCTCCTGTACCCAGCAAGTAATAGGTAGGCTACAAGGGAGGACTGGCCGGGCAGAAAGCTCTCCCCGCCAAAGGTGCGCGGTGCCAAGCGCAGATGGCCTGTCAGCCAGGTGGGAGCTGGACGCTTGGATCTGGAGACAGCATGGAGTTTTAAGCTGCTAATAGGAAAATGCTCCATTGTCTTTTCTCTCACAGGCAAGCGTGCAGCTAATAACAAACAAATCCTCCCCCATAAATTCTTCCAAGGAGACCACCGAACCTGTCAGCAACGGCAGATGGGATCCAATCGACAGCACAGACACCACTGCACATGGCAGGGAGAGAAGCCTTACTCTGCAGTTGCCAACCTTATTAAAGATACTGTCTTACTGTTCAGTAATGTGTCAAACTTGAATGAAGCTGCACTATCCAGGAATCTGACTGGAGGATGCCAGGGTATTTTTAACATGGGAGTGGGCATATGCCAGAAACAGTGCACTAGGAGTCATCTGAGAGAAATTATTTTGTTAACCACCATTTATGAGAACCGGTCTCCCTCTGTATCTGAGCCAGTTTATAACACCAAAGATCTGTAGCTGAATAATAGAAAATTCATACAGAAATGTGAATCAGACAGACCAGAAAAGGGAAGGATGCTGAAAGAGAGAGCAACAAAAACATGTCTGAAGCCTGAATACGTTTCTTTAGAAAGTGGACCAGTGACTAGCTGGGAAGCTGGTATGCTTTGGAAGTGAATAGAGTACAACCAAATCTCCTCAGGCTAGACAGCAACAGATAGAAATAAACACTTTTATGCAGGAGAAAGCAGAGCTGTGGGATGTGATCTCCCTCCCATAGTAAAACTACTGCAAAGCTGGTTTTTGGTGCCCTGTAAAACACACCAGTGCTGGCACCGAAGCAGAGTCAAGCAGTTAGCGACCAGCCTGTGACCTGCAGTGCCTCCTGAGAAAGCCTCTTGCTAGGGAACTCCACTGGAGCTGGGGTACTGGCTGGATACCACAGTGCATTGCCCATAAAGGTCCAGGTGGGGTTAGACATGCTGATAAAGATGGGAGTGACCCACATCAGTACCCAAATACTGAAATCCTCCTTCACCACCCGAGACGCTGTCATGCCATGCTGGCAGCACACATGGTGCAAAGGGACACATATCTCCACCCTAATTGTAATGAGCACTCTCCCTTCTGAATACAGTGAAGGCAAACACTGAAGTTTGCTTAGAAACAGGTGGGGTTGTGAGTGAAGTCCATCACTACAGCTGCACAAGGAGGATTTCATCTGCTGCACTCTATCACTACCCTGACACCAAATAGAACTTTTGGCTCCTTGCAGAAAAAAAAAAAAAAAAAGCCACCCTGAGCACCTCGAAACTGATGTTCATCTTGCCATGTCCCCAGGTGATCACTACTTAGACTTGCATGCACACCTTATGTGCACAATTACAGAAACAGGACTGGAAGGCAGCCAGAGAGCACTTCCCACCTTCCTGCCTCAAGACCAAGCCATGAAGGCCTTCAGAAACACAGGACAGCCCCAAATAATCCCCTGTGGCATTTACATCTTTTTTTTTCTCTTAGGAATTTCTAACATCTAATCTCCAATTTCACTTCTTACAATTTAAAGCCCTTACACAGAGATAGCAAACCAGGCACACATCAGTCATGTCACATCTCCAAAGCCATACTGAAGTTCAGCTGTGCAGGACTTACCCTTCTTAAAAGATACATGATGAGGTCTTGGTTTTTTTCCACAATGTTTAAACAGCTCATTATAGGGGGAATGTATATATCTAAAGGCACCAGGAGGCAGAAAACCTTTCATTTCTCTGGTATCTGTGCATGTTAGTAAAAGGAAGGTGGAACTGCTTGCAGGGCCACAGCACCATCTGTGGCACTGCTTCCAGATCTCTTGCATCCATCTGATACGATAGTGAGCCAGAAAGTATCACCCAAACTGTTCACGCACTTATGTCAACCTCCAAACACCTTATTTTCATCCTAGTTGTACTATGTCTAGTGACAGTGATATGCCAGGGCCCTTCTCCTTAAGGCACAGCAAGGTATGCTCTGCTCTCTGTCTGCGGAATTATGACAGGCTGCTAACGTCTGCGCTGTATGTCTGTGTGTCTCCCGCTCTCCCAGTGGGACAAAGACAAAGTCAACTTATAGTCAACACCAGACTAGTCACCTATCAACATATTCAGCATGACATTATACATAGATACTCTTATTTTTTGACAATTAGGAGAAAGAGACTAACCCCAGAAGTTTGTATGTCATGTGGAAGCGTCTTCTGAATTACTGTAGTTGCCAACCGTGAGGTGGTCCGAATCGGTTTCTTTACTGAAAAACAGTAGCTTTTTTTTTACAAGCTGTAATAAGGGACTGGGAAAGACTATCTTTATTACAGTGACCCTTGAGCACACATGTCCCCACACACAGCTTTCTTCCTTCTTGCCTGATGTTCCTGTGTATTGGAGGTAGTGGGCAGGGCACAGGGGTCTGAGTTGGGACTGTGGGCTCAATGTTGACCACCAAGCTCTGTAAAGTATCTCTTGCTCTTCACCTAGCAGTCCACCAGTTCCAGCACACAGCAACTCCTCTCCACAGATGGCCTGGGCTGTGGCATGCTCACTCAAGGGTAAAAGGGGCCTGTGACCTCAAATCCTGTGCTCCCCTCCAGGCCACATGGCCAACCACTGAGATCCACCAGAGCAGAAGCAGGTAAAGAATGCCCAGCCAGCATGACACAAGCCCCTGTGCTTTGTGCAGCCTCATGCACTCTGCTGAGCCAAGGTTCTGAACACACAACCCCACATCCTTTATCTGGAAGGACCAAGGCCAGGGAAAGAGTACAAGCATAACATTCAAGAGGGAAAACAGGCTGTGGTACCTCCCCGTTTGCAATTGCCAGGTTACTCACTGTTGTTCAGCTTTGGCTCGGTCACTTAGGAAGAAGAGGGCTGTGGCCAGGAAAAACATCCCTCCTAGGACAACGACAAACGGGCAGAGCATGAGTGCATACCCCAAGCTGAGAAACTCCCAGACTGGGGACTCCTTTGTGCTTTGTCGTATCAGGTCTGAGATCTAGGAGAGATGGGCAAAAAAAGTAGTTACTTAGATGAGAGACATGATGATGGTGAAGAGAACATGATTCCCTAAAACAACCGCCCGCTGAACATGTGCATGAGGTTTAAAATGGAACAGCGTGTTCACTAAAAGCTGAATGTCCCTTGCATGCTTCAGCCTTCCACATGTCACTCTGCAGCCTGGGCAACTTACGCTGTGAGCAGCTTGGCAGTGGTGCTGCTCTCCCTGTCGCTCTCCTGGCCTGATTGTTCCCACAGCTCACTCCATCTTCCCCCTGGCTGCTTCAGTGACTGCAGCGTGGGTGTCTAACCCTGCTGTACTGACCAAGCGTCCTGGGGTGCTGGCAGGACCACGCCGGCATTGCTCAGTGGCTGAGGGACGGATCAATCTTCTGCAACTTCTATCAAGTCCTGCTTACTCCTACACCTTACCTCCCTTCCAGAAAAAAAGAGGCATTAGATTCCATTTCTGTGTATTGAGTGGGAAGGGGGAAATGTTTCTCACAGAACAAGAAACCAGAATCCCATCTGATTTTCAGAAACAGAACTCAAACATGGGCTTTTTATCCTCATGTCAGAGGTACGGGCCTCATTTCCTCTTCTAACCTAAGCTTGCTGCAATTTGAAGTTTAAATGTGTGCAAGATGTGACTCTGCCCCCCAGGCTCAGACAAGGTCTGTTGCATAGGGGCTGCGCTCACACGGAAGAACCACCCACCACCGAGTTTATGGACTGAGGCAACCTGCATCCTCCGACTGCCAACGCGAACGCAGGTTTGTGCTTACACGAAGGAGCAGTGACGTGCAATGGCAGTATTTAGTTCATTATGAAAAGCTTTTGCTAAAACACAGTGATATTTAATGACTGTCTGTAGCTAAAACAATCACATTTTAATATTTACTGTCCAGCAATAAACTTTACTCTCCATAAATCCAGCAGAGCAGTAGCAGCAGTAGGAGTGAGTCTCAAGGCATTGGGTATTTAAATGTCCAGCTCTGTTTTCATCTGTGGCATTTTGTTGAGGCAGAAATACTAGATTATACCAAAAGGCTGCAGGGAATTTGCAACATAAAATCCTACTGCTGTGCACACACGCAAATTGGTTCCAGAAATAGCCAAAGCTTGTGCAGCAACTTCTAAACTGCTACATTACTGCTAAAAGGTGGTGTCAGACACAAACTACAAGCAAAATCTGACATTAAAGGCTTAAATTTTGACAATCAAGTGAGGAAATGCCACACACAGGAGAAATCTCCAGTTTGCAGCCCTGCAGCCAAGGCAGCTGTAGGGACCTGGAAGGTAAACGTGTGTGAAGAGATGCCTCAGCAGAGGCCAAGCACAACAGAAAGTCACAGAAGGATGACAGTTGTGGGGACTCAAGTGATCAGGTTGCAGAATGTGCTTCAGCAGGGAGAGTCTGGAGCACTGGTGGGCTCAGTGCCTTAATATTCATCTGACAGCTCCGCCTGGCTCCTGCTAGAGCGAAGGAAAGGAGGAGTGGCCAGCCTGATGCTGGAGGTGAAACCACTGCACACAAAAGAGGAGAGGGCTGCCTTTTAGGATGGACCATTCTCAAGTAGACAGAAGTAAGTAAACACTGGAAGAATGTATCCGCAGAAAGAACCGAAGGTTTTTAGCCAGACTCCACTGTTTCATTCCCTGCCGTGGAAAGGACAAGGAGGAAAATTCAGTGCTTGGGATAGAGCTAAGGAAGTGTTCCTGTCCTCTCAAAGAGAACTTTATTCACAGTGTGTAACACACACAAGTTAAAACAAGAGTGTTATGAACAAGTCTCATGTGAGAAATTATGGCTAAAAATGTCCTTAGATTGAAGGCAAAAATAACAGTGGCTATTAGTCAGAGAGACTTATTAAAAAATAGCAATGAGACTTGAATGTGAAAAGCATGCACCCACAGGAAATTAGCAGAACATGCACTGCACCCAGGGACATCAGCTGGTAATTTATTCCCTCTTGTATTCAGACACCTTAATTCCCAACATTTCCCCTACTCTTCATTATGAATCAAAATTTGGCATTGAATCAGCTCCTCTGTGTGCAATAGCTAGAATTAAGGCTACTCTAAAATAGAAATTTAGAAATTCTAAACCACTTTTCATTTTGGGGAATGGATACAATTATCCTTCAAAAGGACCAGACAATAAATCACTTGACAAATTGACATGATAAATCCGCAGTAGAGGATGAAAAGCCAGGCATGGGCTCCCAATTGCTTTCTCTTATGGATGACACGACATTCTAGGATAAAACCAGCTTTGAAGACATAAAGTCTCCAGCAAAAAAAAAACCTCTCCATGCAGCTTGCCCGACACCTTCCCTTCTAAGGCATCGTGTTGATCCTGTATACCAGCGAATCATGTTAATATTGAATCTGCTATCTTCTTCATTTTTAACCCAACATATTTGTAAGTGCACATTTTAGAAAAAGCAGTGTTTCCTCTCATCCAAGGTGTAATTCCTCCTACCAAGCCAGCTGAGCTCTCTCATATAGGTTTCGTATAAACCCCTCGGCTCTATCTGCATCTCTTAACTCTAGAACTTTATCAGGGCCCACGTAGATGTTGTTGCTCTTAACTTCACAGTCACTATTCCTTGTTGTTTTGTTTCACTCAGTTATAAGCCACCTGCCAAGCCTGGAACTTTGGCATCTCCTCTCAAGAGGACACAGGACATCATAATTACAGACTTGGGTTCCAAGAATTACATACTGTTTGCCAAGTGGTCAGCTTTCCAGACTCCTCACAACAGCATCCTGAGCTGTCTAACTGTGATCTGGCAAGACACAATCTAGCATCATATTTGGGGTCTCCTCTCTATCATGAGTAACAAAAAGTAGGGGTTGCATGCACAGTCGGTGCCAGTTCTTCAGCATAGAGTCTCATGTGGGAATTCTTCCTTTGCTCTGTCAATTGATAGGTGGCAAAAAACTTCCAAAACATTTGCCCAAAATGGGGGTGTGTGGAAAATTCAATAAAGGAAGTCTGCTGCTTCTTTGCAGTCTAATCAGAAGTCTTTGATAACACATCCTAACTAGGAAAGTTCAAATCTTCTTTTCCCTTAATGTGTAACACAGATCTCAGACCAAGAGGAATGACTTCCCTAAATAAACTTCAGCTGATGGCATTTTTACAGCAGAATACAAATGGCATGTATTCAGCTGGTGGCAGCCAACTGGATAGAGTCCAGGAAGAGAAAATGCCCACTTGCTGGGGAATGAACAGTACAGCTGCACCTGATCCAAAAACCCAAAATCTCTGATTGTGTCTCAATCTGAGGGCAGAAGACAATGAAGGAAAAAAGGGAAACTTCACTTCCTTTCTTGGGGAGCATGTGCTGCTGTGTTTTTTTGGAACTCCTGACAGGTTATTGATGTAATAAAAGCTCAGGTGGGCTGAAGCCCTAGAAAGATGGCTTGCTCCTGTGTTACTGTCCTCCTGAACAGCATGAGTGGTTAACTTAAATTGATTTGCTAATTACACAACGTAATGGTAACAACATCTTTGAAATCATCATTTCATCTACTCTGTCTCATTGCCAAGTTGAACATCTCAATTCCTCTGCAATTGCTTGACTTTCCTAAATTTCTGACATTGCCTCTTGGGCACAAATCTTGCCACATAAAACGGTATTTCCACTGCAGCATCTGGCACAAATATTTGATTTTTCTGATTACCAATTTGATACAAGCCAGGTTCTCCCTGGCTCTTCTCTTCAGTACAGTTCCTTAATACAGTATTCCCTGTAACCCCACTGTGTCACCACAATGGTTTGGAGTTCACGCACTCTGAATTCAGAGGTTTCTTTGATTTCTTAAAAAAATCTAACATGAATGCAAATGAAAACTAAAAACAAAAATAAAGGATTTTATAAAGTAAAAGTAAACAATTTGCTGGGCCTGTGGGGAGCACAAGCATTTATACTGTGCTAAATGGCATGAGAAACTTGTTATAAAAAGAAGTAAACCTGACTATTTTATGATATTAATTTAGAAGACTGCAGAAAGGTAAAAGCAATTGTAGTCTAAAAGTTATTTCAATTTTAACCTTGGCATGTTTAGATGTTGGAGGGGAAAAACAAAACATCCTGTTAATCTTAACTGTGTCCTTTTGAGATCACAAACACATTTAATACCTGGCCAGTGACAGTATCAGTTCCTTGCACTAGTGTGTGGTACCTGAGTTTGCCCCAGCAATACCCATAGCCAGGATTCCTGCGCTGCTCCCCTGTGGCAGGTTCCTCTGGTTATGCCCTTGTACTCTCAGCCAGGCTGCATTAAGTAAGTGGTGCTTCCTCCAGAAGGCTGCAGTAAATTAGAAGACTCAATCAAAGGTGCTAGCAAATGGACTTTGTACGTCCCTTGGTGTTAGAGCAACATTTGCCTCCAGACAACATTTGCCCTGGAGAGGGTTGGAAGTCTATTTTCTTCATGTCACTGCCTTTCTCTCCAGGTCTGGTCTACCCAGAGATTTTCTAAATTACCACTGGATTTTCTCCTGTCCCGGCAGGAGATGCCTTGTACCGTGGGGAATGTGGAATTGAGGAACAGAGGGCAGAGGTACTTCAATGTGCAGGGATCGGGGAGGGCTCACTTACATGTAGAAACAAGGTCTGTGCCACGGGAGCACACTTTGGGAGCACACCCTTTAGCAGCATCCCTGTCCCCCACCTCTCCTCGCAGCATATCCCAGGAGAAGGAAGTCACATTGCAGAAATTGGAGAACTCATTCTGAAAGGTGCACAGCCCCATGAAAACTCTGTGTCTGTATTGGGTCCTTCGCAGCTCAGAGAAAGAAGCCACTTACTTATTGAGATTTTTAGTGCACAGAAAGAGGGACAAAGCAGATGGGACAGAGCTTGAAATATTTGAGTGAAACAACGATCCGCTCTGGATTTCTGGGCTTTTTTAATGAGACACTTTTACATAATTTAAACGTCTGTTTATCAAAACCACCGAGAACCTGCACTTTTAACCAAAGTA